ACCTACAAGTTCACACGCACCTGTGTTTTCTTCAGGCAGAGAAATCCAAGATTTTCCAGCACGTCCAATTCCAAGCACAAAAGGCTGCCTAAACCTTGTCAAAAAGCAGTTTCTTGGCCTGCCTCTAAGTACTTAGAAACATTGCATCTCTTTGTATTTGCTGCTGGAAAAATTCCTTTCAAAAGCAGCTAGTGAGCAGAGGTTCATATGACAGGCAAAAATGCTTAACAATTTTACAGAACAGATCCCTCAGAATCAGCCAAACTTATCTTAAACTGTTCACTTGAGAAAAAGAAGTTATGGTATAGAAAAGTATGGATGGTTCTAGATGTTAACAGAAGATCAGTTGAAATCCTTTTCCATACAAGACAATGGAAAATAAAATGGACATGAAGCAAAGATCAGAAGCAAAAAGAAATAAGTAGCATGTAAACTTTTCCACTGATGGCAACCAAAGAGTAACACAGTTATCAGACACAGAGAAGGTTAAGAGGACAAAAGAATAAATTGGGTGGACATGAAAAATTGAAGGAAAGACAAATTCGGAACTGATGTCAGGCCACACATTTTAATTGCGGAACTGCCTGCCAGACACCAGCGCCGAGCCGGGGTCATCCGGAGAACGGCCACAGGGCACCCAGGGGACACGGGTACCAACAAGGGTGCAGCAGCTTTCCATGAAAAACCTTACTCATCTTTACTTGCATTATTGCCACGTCATTCAAAATACCTAGCTTAATCTGTGCCGCAGCTTAACAAAGAAAAGAAAGAAGATCAGAAGGAGAGAAAGCAGTCATGCCAATGGGGTTGTCCATCATAAGCAAGGAAAACTCCAGGCATTCAAAATAAAGTGCCCCTTCGGAGCTGAGGTCACCTTGTCAGTATCAATCTTCTCATGTTGATGCACATTAAGAGCTATTGGAGTGTCCCCTTTTATCCTATGACTGAGAATTGACCTTACTGACATTACCGAATACAATATGGTCATTTAAGGATGCGGTAATTATTGGTAACTGCACTAACTAAGTTAGTAGCACACAGGACACCATTGCTCTGGCTGGTATTGCCACCTGGTCTTTATGTTAAGAAATTTATTCTTATTTCATATGCCATGACTCAAGCTATGTTCCCATCAGTCCCTTATTTGCAATTATTTTTCATTTGACTCTCACGAAAACTTACACTGAAGGGGAGCGTTTCTCACCTGAAAAGAAAGGCCATAGTGGCTTTACAAATTTTAGTTTAGCCTATAAAAAAACATATTACTCAAAAACATGTTAGTCTTCCACCCTCATCACAGCACCACCATACTCCATTCTTGTCTCTGTCTAGACATTACATCAAGGCACCAGGAGGGAAAACCCGTAATAGCTTCTCTTTTACAGACAGCAAGAGAGTGCAAGAGGAGAAAAAGGCACATCTGCGCAGCACTGCTGACACTAAGATACATGCTGTTACACCATTATGCAACAAGCTGGCTAAGCTTTAGCCCTTTAGCAGAAGCACCAACTTCACCTGCATGCAGGGTGGAACCCCCTTACTGACCTTACTCCTGTTAAAACCGTGTGTGTGGAGACACTTATCCATTTAAGCACAGAAAGAAATGAAGGCCCTTCAATGACAGTTTAAGGGAGAATCTGTGCACAAAGCTACACCCTTAATAAAACCAGCTTAAAATGCGATAAAAATAGTGTCAGTGTATTGGTAGTGAAACATCACTGGAAAGAAGCACTTATCAGCTGCCCAGGAGCATATCCAGCCTTGTACCCAGCCTGCTGGCCAGCTTGGTCACTGCCGGGGGAAAAAGGCCCTTCTGTAAACCCACACTTACTAACAGTACTTTGCCAACTGATACACATGAAGTTCCAGTCCAGAATTTGATGACAGAAACAATTCCTCTAAGAGGTGTATTTCAGGAGTTAAAAAATTCCATTAACAATTGTATGTAACAGCTGAACGTGGTTCAGAGGGAAGAACACTCATCTTCTAGCTACATGCACGCTTTCAGAACTTCATGTGGCAAAAAAGAGAAATAAATCATTCAAGTGGGAAATCAATTCACTGTGACTGCGCATTGCTCTATATGAGCCTGTCAATTATGAACGTGAATTCTCAGAAATGGGAATATTCAGCAGGTGCTACTTCCTTCAGCACGATATTAACACGTTCTTTGCCATCTCACATTTACCCTTATGCAAAAATACTTGCAAATGAATTATTAAATGAGACCCCTGTCGAAACATAAAATACGATGAAACAACCGCAGTGGGGTTAAGAACAAGTTGTACAGTTGTCTGTCACTGCAGAGGTGACACCAAGCACACCCACTGCCTCTGAACCATTAACTGACCATAAGCAAAACACATTAATTTCCTGTGTGCTTTGTTTGGAATAGTGCTCCACTTCTGGAGTGGATCAGAGATGAAAATGGCCCAATCCCAAGACTCTGGATTGGGAATGGCAGGTGCCTATGGCATACACATGTGCTTCCCCCTCCCTTTTTTCTTTTTTTAAAAAGAAAAGACAGACAACTTCCCAGTGACCAGAGCCCCACCAGCCCAAAAAGGCAGCCTTACTGGGAGGACCTTCACCAGCAAGCTGCTGCTGCTCTTCTGCACCACACAAGCCATGGGAGCTTTCATCTGTCTGAATGCAGCTTTACTGATTTACTGGCAAAGATATATGATGTGATCACTAGAGAAATGACTTTTTGTTAAAAGGAAGAGAAAAAAGAGAAAAATCAATAGTAGCTTGTGCTGGAAAGGGACCTTGGAATTGATTTGGAGATGATGTGTTGGGCTTCGGCCCAAAGCAAAGATTCTGGCCAAAGCGTGTCATGCTTTTAGAGTTCATTTAAAGATGACCCCAAATTAAATTTCCAATTGTAAAGGCCTAATTCACTCCAGATTGTTTAGAAATACTGCTAAAAAATCCCAACACGAATATCCTTCTGAGGTTTCTGAGTTCAATTTCATAAACTTTTAGCCAGATTGCACACTCCCGCATGCGTGTTCCCTTTTGCTGCTGCAGGTTGCTGCATTCTGTCGACCCCCAGGACCGACAAGGGAGTGAGGGGCTCCTATGACCTGCAAACACTTACTGCTCTCTTCACAGTTTTTGCACAGTGCAGCTTCCTTCCTAGATACACCCATGTTTTTAGAGCTATTTATTTTCCCCCCAAATAGATACAAAGGAGCATAGCAAGGAGGAAGGCACACTACTCCACTTCTTTAAGAAAGCCTCTAGGGCATCTGACAGGCTGGACCACATCCCCAGAGGAAGCCAGGGCTGCAGCACAGGCCCAGGGTGCAGCTGTGTGCTGGCAGCACTGCTGGCCACCAGGTCTCCGTGAGTCACCATCACGGTTTCATCTAGCTGGAAGCCACTGGGTTTCCTCACGCACTCTCGCCAAGTCTCCTCGGTGGGTGCACTAAGTCGCTGTGCAGTGTTACACCAGCTGGGGCCAAGCCCACAGCAGAGCATGACTCTCTGGAGGTGTGTAAAGCCACAAAATGCATTTTCATTCTGTCCACAGCACAAAGCTGTTTCCCACCTAATCTTCGGCACTGCCTGAGCTAGGATGCTACACTGCTGTAGTTATGCTAGTACATACACTTAAACCAACACACTCTTCCCCTCTGCTTCTGTCCTCAGGATGTGGTCTCAAAAAGAACACAGATGACAATAATATTTAAAGAAATCCAGAGCCTGGGTGAGGCAAGCAGTCCCACCTCCACACTCACTTCTGCCTACCCAGCTGCTTGCACAGCCATACCATGGGCTTAAGTAGTCACCTGGCTTTAAAGACTCTAGCACACCCAGACAGCCCCCAAACCAGTGGCACCACCTGCAGCCAGGGGATGAGCTGGGGCACCCCAAAGCAGCAGCAGGACCTCCTCAGCACACAGGAGCCAGGTGTCTAACCTAGAGAGAGCACCTCCATGCAGAGAAGGGGCAAGGAGCAGAGGATGTAGAAGTGGAAATTGTTTCCTTGAAGCAGGTCAGACAACTGGACCGTGGCCTCAATAGCATCTTGACAAAGAATTAATGCTCAATTCTCACACCACCACTCATTTGGCAGAGCACATCTAAGCCAGCACACACCACAGACCAGGTTTTGAGTTAGCAGGATCAGCAGCAAGGGAGAGATGGGCCCTGAGCACTGGCACCAAGCATGGGCAACACCCCCTGCCAGCCCCAGCCCAGCCACCTGGCCAAGCACCTCTCCAAGAGACAGCCCTGGGCAGTGCCACCAACCTCTGCCACATGCTACTGCCACCACCTTGCATATCATCCTGGCCAGTGCCCACTCCTGCTCACAGACCAGGACCTGGAGGGCCCCTGCACCCTGCCCCAACCCCACTCACCCCATGCTGCAGCACCTGACCATATCACACACCAGGCACCCACCTGTGTTTGCAGGCAGGGCCCAGCCCCCTCCCCTTCACAGCACTCCCTCATACAAGTTACTCACTGCTCTGCACACACATCTCTGCACTGCCATTTGACTTTTTAAAAGCCACCAGGGCTTGCAGGGACAGAGCACCCACCACTCCAGTCCTGGCTGGGCTCCAGGGACACACAGCCAGCACAAGTGGTCCCAGACCAGGGCCACAGCCAAGCAAGCAGCACCACCAGCCTGCCCAGTCCCACACCTAGCAGGTGCCACCACTGATACAAAAGTCATAATAACACACTTTTTCTTGCATTAGCCAGCAGCTCCTAAGGAGGCCTCCAAGCAACACCAGGGAACTGCCAACAGAGAGGACCCTTCTGACTTACCTGGGCTCATCATCACCTGCAGCCCCCCTGCTCCTCAGCAGCAACGAGGCACCCCAGAGCCCCCACAGCACTGCCCCCAGCAAAACCTGCTCCCACCACCAGCTCGACACTGCACTGCTCAACCCTCTTATAGCCTCGCTTCTCGGGGGGAGGGCCAAATCACTCCAATGCAGAAACACCTGTGAGCCAAGGCGTAGCACATCACCGTTACTGCTCACCTTCATGGCCAAGGCCGGCGTTGCCTGTCCTTGCCCCTGGGCCTGGCCAGCGCAGCAGGGGGAGATGCTGCGCTGCGTCCTGCTGAGCGCCTCGGCGAACAACAGCGAGAGAGGGCAAGAAGTGACTTGTAAAAGGATTTGTGGAAGGTCCGGTTGTTTGGAAGATACACAAGCTGCCATAAAGCCTGCCAAAAAGAAATTAAACCACCGTGATTAAAAACCAAGCTAACAAACAAGGACATTTGAGCTGGCAGAAGAAAGGCACGCTGAATTATTGCTGGGTGTCACATAGCCATGACACTCGTAATCCAGCACCAGGAATGCTAAAGCGTATTGTGAAAGCAGGGCTTTATTTCCCACCTTGGCAAATGGAGCTAATTTATGATTGCTCTCTTATCAGAATAGCTCAGAGGCTTCTTACACAGGTAAAACATGGGGGCTCTTGGACTGAAGGTAGAATAAAAATGCAAACTGTTATATTAACTTTCCACATTAGCCATGGCTGGAAGGAAAATAAGAGGCTCGGCAGACTAATTGCTTTACTCTGTATGGCAAATTATCCATTCCAAAAGGCAACTAGCGGCATGAAAATAATAAGTGAACATTACAGGGCATTAAGAGAGGTGCAAGAATTTCCCAGCATTAACGGTGCTAGCTTAGGCCTTTAAGTTTACAGCAACCCAGCCGTACCTTTCTAAAGCTTATCAACACTTGACTCACTAGAAATTACACCTTGAACCCTAAAACATCGGCATCTCTGCTTTACGCACTTCGCCACAGTTGAACGCGGGGTGCCTGACAAGCCCCCGCTGCCCTGCAACGCCCTGATGAATTGGGTGTGATGCATGCTCTAGTTCGCCGCTCGAGGAGATTAAAACGGTATCTCTTCGTTTTCCGGGAGCGAAAGGCTGGGTCGCCACCGTCCTCGCTTGCAAAAGCAGCCGGGACGAGCAGGCATCGCCGCGCCGGGGCGGGGGGCGAAGGTC